TTTCGTAGTCTCCAATATTCATTTCCGAGTGAAAATGCCTAGTAACTTTCCAGTAAAAAGTTGGCAAATTTTGGTTTTTCCCAACCTTTGGGTCTTCCGAAAAATCTACCCACGCACGAGCCAACGTCATTTCTTCCTCCTGTGTCCAATTCTTAGAAGGTGCCTTTCCTTTTTCTTGGGTTCCGATTGAGGTCAAATCTCTTCCGGCTCGGAAACCGTTTCAGGTACGACTTTAAGTTGAGAGTCAGTTTCAAATTCGGTTTGGGATTAGAAATGGAATTGCGAGTCGGGAAGGTGATCAAATGGGTTGAACTTATTTTTCGGTTAGGATTGCACTTAAGATTGGAATTGGGACTAGGCTTGGGATTGAGATTGAAATTGTGGTTGTGTATGGATAAGATATAGTAGTATGCACCGGGAAAATGGTAAATATGAGGGAATAAATAGGACGGTCACTTTGATTTTAGATTAATGTATGTGATGAACGTAAGATTAGGTTTATGTTTTGGGTATTTTTTTTCTTGCTAGTTCTTGAAGTTAGAAGGGGAAACAATTTTTTCACAAATATGAAGAATGTTTGAATGAAAAATGAAATATTATATTGTGATAAAAAATAAGATAGTGAATAGTATTTATATAGATTGAGAGATGGGTAGAAATTTGATTTTTTAAAGAAAAAACCGATAATATTTAAAATAAAAAAATAGATGAAAATTTTAAAATTTGAAAATTGGCTCTTTCTCTCTCATCGGTAGAACCTCATCAAGTTTGACCACCAAACTCCACATGTCGAATTGATGGCATAGTGTGTATTGATGTCAGGGCCGTATCAGAGGGTATGACAGCATGGACGATGACTCAGAGCTTCCAAATTTCCGGGGCCTATTTTTATGTATCTACTTATATTATTTTAGAAATAAAAAAGCTTTTGGTATTAAGTCATCACACGTAGAGGCAAAAAGAATACATTTTTCAATTTTGCCCATGATCTCAAATCGGCTTGAGTCGACCCAACTCCAGCTCGGAATTGAGAATTGAAATCTTTACTAACACGTTTAAATTTATATAATGAAAACTTAGGCTACTTGGAGTGGAGTTCGATGACACTCAACACATCCGTTCAATTTTGCCCATGATCTCAAATCGGCTTGAGTCGACCCAACTCCAGCTCGGATGTGTTGAGTGTCATCGAACTCCACTCCAAGTAGCCTAAGTTTTCATTATATAAATTTAAACGTGTTAGTAAAGATTTCAATTCTCAATTCCCAAAGTAGCACCTTTGTCCTTTGGACTTGGCCAACGAACAAGTTAGGCACCCATTTCCACTCCATAAATCTAAAAAGGGGATTTGAGGGTAACTACCACTTTTAGAAATAGGTAGAAGTTAGATGTTTGACCACTCAATCACCATCCACTTTTTAATCAATCTCATCAAGAAGAGTTTTGAATTTTTTTTCAGGACTAAAATCACACTCAAACACGTTATGATGCACAACCCCAAACAAATATGAGGCCCGCAACCAATACAGAAGAAAGGTCCCATCAAATTACCAAAATTATTGTTTAAATGTAAAAGAATTAGACTTTCATATGGTAACGGATTTTTTTGAAAAAAATACCATCCATGCTTGAACTCAGTTTTCAAAGCAAGAATAAAGTAATTTAACCAACTTAAGTTACACGATATTATTTTGACACGACAGAACTAGTTTAGACTAATCGATGTGTTGTTACCACACACTGCGACGAATTAATGTGGACCGCAGTAGCTGTGGTGAACATTGTCCTACCTATGTATTTCACCGCAAAATTCAAACCACTGCGGTAGATTTCACGGAACCACGTCTCATTTTTCATACATTTTATTGCTTCTTATGTAGTTATGTTTGTTTTTATTAAGTTCGTGATGATTAGAAAGTGAAAGAAAATAAGAGGTAACTATTTCCAAGGTGAAAAGTAAACCAAGTAAGGAGAAGAGATAGTGATATGGCTCCAAGGTATGGGTGAACGCGGTGTGGTTCGGTGCGTTTATTGGCTAAAACTTCACCACTAACCGCAAATGCGGTTAATCCATTTTCAAAACCCTTAGTGCGGTTATTTTTGTGGTGCGGTTTATTTTTTTTTCTGTTTCGGTTATTAACCGCATGATTTTGGTGTGGTTATTTTGTGTGGTTTTTATCCACAATTTATAGTTCAAACGGTTTTAAGAGTTCAAACATATTACTTGTAATAAAAAAACCATAAGGTAATCACAAACAACTAATATCTTAAAAACTTCAAATCACTAGTAATTAATAATAAATATCTTAAAACTGTCAAATTTCGTCATTTTCCAAAATTTCAAAAAACCAACATTTTTGTCTTCTAGAATTTTATCATTCTTTCATCCATAAAACTTGTTTTATTTTGAGCATTTAATTAATTAATAATTAATCAAAAAAAAATTGTATATAATATATGCGGTGCGGTGCGGTTGTTTTGCGGTTTCTGAAAACTAATAACCGCACCGCACCGCAAATTTGCGGTTTTTGAAAAACAGAAAACTTCACTATCGGTTTTTATTGTGGTTACGGTTTATACGGTTTTTGTGGTTAATTTTAGTTGCGGTATGATTTTTGCTCACCCCTACTCCAAGGTGGCTCACAAAAAGTGAGAGGTGTGGTGAAACCACAACTTCAACCTTGTAATTAATGTAACTTATTTTTTTAGTTTTTTAAGTTTATCATGAGTGTCAAAACTTAAAATAAATTATGATACTCAAAGAGCCATTTTAATGAATTTATTAAGTTTGTTTTATTAATAAATACACCGTTTGTTAGTTTATCATCTAAAACATGTTTTAAAACCATATATATATATATATATATATATATATATATATAATATATATATATATATATATATATATATATATATATATAGGCTTAGGTTATTCTATTCTAACTAATTATTGTGCGGATATCGTATGCTATGAGAATGATAAAGAAAATATGTTGTTTGATAATATAAATACGTTCAATCTTACATAACTATTGTCATTAACACACATTTTCACTAATTGAATCGTCTATAAGGTTATTATACACTTATTATTATTATTCTCAGAATGTTTATTGGGTCGTATTCTGTCAGAATGAAAATGAGTGAAAAACGATGTGTGAGAACAAAAATAAATAATAATTAGCGAGAATGCATGAAAATGACGATATTTTTGTAAGGTTGAACCTATTCGCATTGCTAAACAACTTATTTCCTTAGTAATTCTCATAGCATACGATATCCGCACAATAATTAGTTAGAATAAAAGTTAAAAAATATTAGTCATTGTCTTGTTTACAATAAGTGTTCTTATTTTGAAATCAATTTATAAATGCATTGTTAATACTATCTAAATCGTGTTTTTTCAACCATTTCTTTTCAACTTTAACAAGCTGCTAAATATTCTATCAACGACCTAATACCAGCTACCTGATAAAGACATAAATCTCTCTTATTGTTGACTTTTTTTCATATATATATAATTGCAAAGGATTAAAGTTTAACTAGCTAGTAGGCAATAGGAAGAGAGTTTTTTGCAAAAATTGGTTGAAAATAGAAACCCTTTGTAAAAATGGGTTGTAAAAATGGGTTGATTCTTATTTCATTTGCAAAAATGGGTTTTTTTGTGGCCCCACATAAAAAACAAACATATTAATATGTAATTTTCACATTTTGGGCCCTTCAACTTTCATAATAACCCTATAACTTATATGTTATATTTATTTTATATCTTTTTTAATAAAAAATTTATTTTTTAAGCTTTTTTACAACAAATGTAAATTTGTATATATTAAAAACATATAACTGAAATATGTCTATTATGTTATTGCGATTTACACCATTAGAAAGTTTTAATAAACACATTCTAATTGATACCAATATCGAATATATTACATGTTACGAAATTACGAAATTACAAGATAATTAAAGACACGACTACAAAAGAAATTAAACATGAACTAACAACTAAATTAAACATAAAATTACAAGAATAATAAAAGTTACATGGTTCACATCGCATTGAATCTTGGTTGAGAATTTGAACAATTTCTCCTGTTATGACTAGGTTGATGGCATAGTCCACATTTACGAGGTTCAGCAGGATGGCAAACATCCATCTTGTTACGAAATCGATTTGCACGCCTCCGACCTCGACCGACAACACATTTTGAGTTATTTGCTTGAATACTCCAATTAGCCTCTAACCAATAATCAACATGAGGAAGTGGTGAAAACCCGTCATTATATTGTTGCTTGTACGTCACAGTTGTGTAAACATGATTGATAATGGAAAAAGGGTTATCCCCTCTAAAACGACAAACTGCAAGAGCATGTGAACAAGGGAATCTTTCCATCTGCCACTTACCACATGTGCATGTATGTTGATAATAACTGACAGTGTGGGTATTTCCTCCGTTTTCATTTACTCGTAACTTGGTGACAATTCTATAGACACCTTCATTATAGTTGAACTCAGTTAAAGTATGACTTTGTGCAGAAGTGTCACGTTTACGAAAGAGACGCCATATACGTGATGATAGAGGTGTGTTGCAATTCATTGCAGCATCACTATGTTTTCTAAAAAGTTGCACAGTTCTATTGAATATAAGATCAAATACACGCCCTAATAGGTAGTTGTCTTGCTCCTCGTAGTGCATTCTTCATACTCTCGGATATATTTGTCGTTAACGACCCCCATCGACGATTTTCATCATAAAAAAGACACCATTGACTTTTATCAATTTGGTCTAAATATTGTCAGGCTTCAAGATTGATTGTTTTGATTTGTTTCTTATACTTCACAAACTTTCTTTTTTGTGTGGTGCTTCCAATATCCCAACAAAATGATTTAAGCCTCACGTTCTTGTACTTTTTCATGAGATTGCTTCTGATGTGTCGAAGACAAAATCGATGGTATCCCAATGGCTCTTTCCATTCCTCTAGATTTTCCATTGCGTGAATTATTCCTTGATGTCGGTCTGAAATAACACACAATTGTCTGTCTTGAGCAACAAAATGTCTGAACTGATACAAAAACCAACTCCAACTGTGTGTAGTTTCCTCATCAACAATGGCATAAGAAACTGGTAATATATTATTGTTGGCATCTTTTGTAACAGCAATAAGCATTTTACCCTTGTACGAACCTCTCAAATGACAAGCATCAATGGAAATAACAGGTCGGCATAGATGAAATGCATTAATTGCAGGTCCAAAAGCCCAAAAAATATACTTAAATGTTGCCACATGTGATGAGCCATTTGGATTATGAAACCATTTCACGACGGTATTAGGATTTGAAGTTTGCAAAGTTGCAATGTACTTGGGTAACTCTCCAAAGTTACTTTCCCAAGTTCCATAAATGTTCTCTATGGCTTTCCTCCTACCATGCCATGCCTTCCAATAAGAAACATCAACATTTAGACTATTTTTAATATCTGCCTGTATATGTTTCACTGGATAAGCAATATCTTTTTCAATTGAGTGGATGATATAGAAGGCTATAGTTGCAGAGTTTAGACTTCTGGTGTCATTGCCTCTACAAGATCCAAAACAATTGTGTGCATCCACCCAACGTGTGATCTTCCACATATGATGGTTTTTCTTTTTCATTGCACGAACATACCATGCACACTGCGGTGTATATGGGTCAGTATTAGAACTTCCTTCTTCACCGCCAAGAGTTTTACACTTTGCTATCCAAAAACTACTTTTACTTTCACAAACCTTAAACTCTCTATTTTGCTTGATCGACCAAAGTCTTACTGCCTTTTTTACATGATCCTTATTTTCAAACAACATTCCTAACCTTATTTTGTTTTCAGATTCATTCCAAAAATCTAAATGAATTTTGTCTTGAATATCTACTATGTCATCGTCTCCTTCGTCTCCAATATCGTTCATAAAGTTCATAACTGGATGGTTACTCACAATCGGAGTTTCATTCACATTATCGTCAGACTCATCCCCAACATCACTTAATGATTCACTAACACTATTTTCACTAAATTGGGAGTTGGGTTCATCAAATCCAAAGTCATTATCTGTCTCACATCTAGCACCATTAGGTAAAGGAAATTGTACCTCGGAGGGGTTGGTGACAAAATCAATAGGCTGAACTGGCTGTGATACTCCATAATTGTTAAGAAGATATACAAGACTAGTATTCGCAGGCCACATTATTTGTAACTGCAAAGTAAACAATAAGATAAAATATATAAATTATCATATTATATATAATGTTTCACGTTAGATATTTGAAATTTAGACAAGAGTATGTACCTTACAATTTAGTTGCGAAGGAAGATTTGTGTATGAAGTCACAAACGTGACTGAAGAATTAAAGAAGAAAAGCTGGGATTTCAAATTTGTGAGAACTATGGTTTATGAAAATGATGATGAAAACTAAAATGGTGAATTCAATATATACATCAGAAAATGAATTAAACGTAAACAAAGTTATAATTATTTTTTTTAACTTTTACTTACTTATTTTCAGATGAAAGTGACAATTCATACTTTTACTTTTGTATATGGATAGTGACAATTAAGACATCTACTTTTGCATGTGGATAGTGATAACTCAGACATCTACTTTCGAGATAAAGAATGACAATTCAATGACTTTTGTTTTTTTCTACAAATAATTTGGCATAAAAATTATATATATATATATATATATATATATATATATATATATATATATATATATATATATAGAGTCAAGATCAAATAAGAAGAAATTTTTGGTAGGAAGGTAAAAAGTTTTCTTTCTACATATTTTTTTCGCGAACAAACAAAATGAATCATTAGATGATTCAATTGTAAGATGATTCACAAGAAAAAATTCTTAAAAAAACATCTTGATGATTCATTTATACAATGAATTTGTTGTTATTCACTAAAATTGTCATAAAAGTGAATTTTTTTTAATTTACTTAAAAATGAATCATAAAGATGTTTTTTTGAGAATTTTTTCTTGTGAATCATCTTACAAATGAATCATCTAGTGATTCATTTATTTTGTTCGTCAAAAAAATATGTAGAAAAAAAACTTATTACCTTCCTACCAAAAAAAATTTCTTACCGGATCTATATATATATATATATATATATATATATAGATATATATATATATATATATATATATATATATATATAAATTCCGATTATGTAATTTGAATAATAAACTTATATATATATGTAATAAAGATTAAAATATAAACTTAAAAAATTAAAGATAAAAAAATTAAATAATATATAAGTTATGGGATTATTATGGAAGTTGAAGGGGCCATGTAAAATTATATATTAATAGGTTTGTTTTTTATGTGGGGCCACAAAAAAAACCCATTTTTGCAAATCAAATAAGAATCAACCCATTTTTGCAAATCAAATTATATATTAATAGGCATTTTAATGAATTTATTAAGTTTGTTTTATTAATCAAATAAACCGTTTGTTAGTTTATCATCTAAAACATGTTTTAAAACCATATATATATATATATATATATATATATATATATATATTATATATCTATATATATATATATATATATATATATATATAGGCTTAGTTTATTCTATTCTAACTAATTGTTGTGCGGATATCGTATGCTATGAGAATGATAAAGAAAATATGTTGTTTGATAATATAAATACGTTCAATCTTAGGTAACTATTGTCATTAACACACATTTTCACTAATTGAATCGTCTATAAGGTTATTATACACTTATTATTATTATTCTCAGAATGTTTATTGGGTCGTATTCTGTCAGAATGAAAATGAGTGAAAAACGATGTGTGAGAACAAAAATAAATAATAATTAGCGAGAATGCATGAAAATGACGATATTTTTGTAAGGTTGAACCTATTCGCATTGCTAAACAACTTATTCTCTTAGTAATTCTCATAGCATACGATATCCGCACAACAATTAGTTAGAATAAAAGTTAAAAAATATTAGTCATTGTCTTGTTTACAATAAGTGTTCTTATTTTGAAATCAATTTATAAATGCATTGTTAATACTATCTAAATCGTGTTTTTTCAACCATTTCTTTTCAACTTTAACAAGCTGCTAAATATGCTATCAACGACCTAATACCAGCTACGTGATAAAGACATAAATCTCTCTTATTGTTGACTTTTTTTCATATATATATAATTGCAAAGGATTAAAGTTTAACTAGCTAGTAGGCAATAGGAAGAATGATGGGAGATGAGAGAAAGAGAGGGAAACCTTTGGTACTGGTAGCAAGTCCATTTCAAGGTCACATGACGCCTATGCTTCAGCTCGGCAGTGTCCTTCATTCCAAAGGCTTCTCAATAACCTTAGCCCATACCAAATTAAACTCCCCTGATCCTTCCAACCATCCTGAATTCGTCTTTCTTCCTCTTTCTGACAACTTTTCAGCCATTGATGCCTCAGCCAACTACACAAAGTTCCTTGAAGCCCTTAACAATAACTGCAAAATGCAGCTTCAAGATCACTTGACTCGAAAGATTGAAGAAGGAAAAGATGAAATGAATCATACGATCACAGTCATACACGATAATATCATGTATTTTGCTGAAGAAGTTGCTAGCAATTTGAATCTTCCTAGCATTGTTTTGCGCAGTTGTAGTGCATCGTATATGCCGGCTTTCCTTGCTCTTCCTCGGCTACATGCAGAAGGGCAACTTCCTGTTCAAGGTTAGTTAGTACTTTACCTTTTAACTGTAGATATGTCGGTATATAAATATATATATATATATATATATATATATAGTAACCTTTATATCACTTTTTTACCACACTACAACACAGATTCCATACTGCAGGAGCTTGTTCCAGAGCTCCATCCCCTCAGGTACAAGGATTTACCTTTTAATGATACACCTACAGAAGTTGCAACAGAAATGCTTGCTCTTGCGGAACGTGTTAGAACCCCTTCAGCTATTATATGGAACACCATGGAGTTTCTTGAGTCTTCAGCGCTGACACAACTCAGACAGCACTACCAGGTTCCAATTTTCGCCATCGGACCTCTGATAAAAATGGCTAGGTGTCCATCTACTAGCTTTCTTGAAGAAGACACTGGTTGCATTTCATGGCTTGATAAGCAAGCTCCAAGATCAGTTCTCTATGTAAGTCTGGGGAGTTTAGCCACCATGGATGAAACCGAGCTTGCTGAGACAGCCTGGGGGCTGGCCAAAAGCAAACAACCGTTTTTATGGGTGGTCCGACCCGGTTCAGTTAGTGGGTCGGAGTGGATTGAATTTTTGCCGGAAGGTTTTACAGAAGAAGTAAGAGGAAGAGGTCTTGTGTTGAAGTGGGCTCCACAAAAACAGGTGCTGGCACATTCTGCAGTTGGTGGGTTTTGGAGTCACTGTGGTTGGAACTCAACTTTAGAAAGTATTTCCGAAGGGGTTCCAATGATATGTCAACCAGTTATGGGGGACCAATGTGTAAATTCCAGGTACCTGAGTTACGTATGGCGTGTAGGTCTGGAACTGGAGAATCTAGAGATAAAAGTAGTCGAAAGTGCAATCAGAAGACTCTTGGTGGATGAAGAAGGGCAAGAGTTGAGGCAAAGAGCAATTAGCATGAAAGAAAAGGCTAAATATTCTCTCTTCAAAGGAGGGTCTTCATTTAATTCCTTAAAAGATTTGGTAGAATTCACCCTCGCAGATTAGATACCAATTGAATTAGACTTAAGAAGCCTCAAAGTGAAAACATATGTATCGCGTTATGGGTATATCATCAATGATAATTTCTCACCGAAAAACATATGAAATTATTCTCATTATTCATTTACTTCTTTGTAATTAAGAATATTCAAATGACCAAATGTTCAGTAAGACTTGGTTTCCTGTTTGTTATGCACGACATGGCATAATAGGTTGTAATGCATTAGACATATATATTGACAAGAGACTGTAAAAAAATGTAACGAGATAAGATAATAGCCTAAAAATTAAGTTTATTAATTGGGTGTCACTGGGTCCACTCCAAAAATGCAACTTTAAGATCATGGAAAAAGCAATGCAACAATTAAGCAACACCAACAGATAAACATATGGTAGTGGTTAATTAACCTTTGCCTACTTACACATGATTAAGTTTAATCATATACTTCGAATAGCATTATGGGATGCATGCTTTTCTATTGACTGCTTTGATTTGCATATGTCAGATGAGTGTGATTACTCCTAATGTCTAGGCACATTGACTGTGTAAGTATTTAAAATGGAATGAGACTATAAAAGCATCTATGGAGGACCACTAATTAACCATTCTAAGAGTACTATACGGAATCTGAACTGCTGGATAGTTAGGTGATTGAAATCGACACATTGGTCCAGTGAAGGGAAAGTTCGACACTTGTCAATAAAAGACGGGGAACCCCAAGTATGACCACACGGATATGCCAACTTCATGACAAGAACTAGGCACCTAAGGAAGAAATAACCAATATAAGAAGGGCCGTAATGAAAATAAGGTTAGGATTAAAGAAAAACTATACGTTCATAAATTATTTATATTAAATGAAAATTAATAAAAAAAGTATAATACGTTTAAAAACCAAAAGAATAACAATAATTAATAGTTATTTCGGAGGTAAGTTCAATGTGGTGGGTGACAACAAAACAAGTTAAGCACTTCAGACAAATATCAAAAAAACAAACTTCGGTGAACTCACGAAAAATTCTGAAAAAACGTAAATCAAAAGAACACAATGTTTAACGTGGTTCAGTCAAGATGACCTATATCCATGAGCGGAGAGAGAGAGAGAGAGAGAGAGAGAGAGAGAGAGAGGTGATTTTATTAACTTTTTGGAACTATTACAAACACTCAAAAGTGAAATCTAGCAATTTACAATTATGAGGGTATTAGCCTATTTATACTTGAGAGATTAGACTTAAAAGCCTAATGGGCCAAGCCCATTGGCCCACAGACCCATGAATAGTGACAACCAATCATATTTCGCCATATAACATCTTCTAAAACATTCTTCCATGTCATACAACTCATGAGCATCATCAACACACATGTTGGATCACCTTAACCATAGTGGAGCAACATGATGCACAGGTGGAGCATAATGATCACTAATGGCCTGACATCCATCATGGTGGCACAACATGGTATATTTCTTGAGCATGATCATCTTCTAAGCATATGTGGATCAATATGGCAAAGGAATCAAGATGGCGCATCATGTACCAAGATGGTCCATGATGGCGCAACATCTCCTCAAGATGGCGCAACATCCTTCCCTTGGCGCAACTTTATACCCTCATGGTGCAACATCTTATAGACGTGGCGCAACATCTCCTTATTGGCTTCCTTATGGCGCAACATCTCCTGTGTGTGGCTCAACATCCATTCCTTTGGCACAACTCCTCTCCCTTTTTCCCAACATCTTCATGGGTGGCGCAAGATGTCTCTATATGGCACAACATCCTAAGGAATGGCGCAACATCAGTCATCATGGTGCAACATGTTGCTCTATGTTGCTTCAAGTTGCTCCAAGTGCTCCAAGTTGGTCCACGTTGCTCCAAAACCACTCCAAGTTGCTCCAAGCCACTCTAAGTTGCTCCAACCCACCTTTTTGAAGATCCGTTCCTTTGTCACTTGATTTGTTCCTTTGTCTGATGATCCATTCCTTTCTTAGACGATCTATTCCTTTGTCACATGCTCTATGAACCCCAAGTGCTCCAATGTGATCAAAGTGCTCCATGTTGGACAAGACTTCTTACCCCAACAATCTCCCACTTGAAGGCTTGAACAACTTCATCTGCCATTCAAATTTTACCATTCCTCAAAGTACTCCCTCTCTTTCTTTCTCTCTCTCTCTCTCTCTCTCTCTCTCTCTCTCTCTACCAAACCCTTCTCTTCAAACTTCTGAAAGGCCAGTTAAAGCCATACAAAGCTTCGACTTCTTATTGGTAACCACCTTGGTGTACATATCACATGGATCCTTTGTTCCAAGTATTTTCTTTAAGTTTAGAGTTCCTTTCTTGATTAACTCTCGAATGAAATGGTACATCATCTAAATGTGTTTTATTCTACTGTGAAACACTGGATTCGTTGCTTAGTGAACTGCACTTTGGTTGTCACAATGCAGTACATAATCCTCCTGCTGCATTCCAAGTTCTAACAAGAAACTCTTCAACCATATGAGCTATTTGGAAGCTTCTGCAAGTACCATGCATTCTACTTCTGTGGTTGAAAGAGAAACACTCTTTTATAACCTTGACATCCAGCTGATTAATGTACCCCCAATTATGAACACATAACCCATTGTGCTTTTTCCTGAATCTGCACATCCACCTAATTCTGCATCAGCGAACCCTTCTAAAACTACTCATTTTCTTCTGAAACATAAGGAACACTCAGTTGTTCCTTTTAAGTAGCATTGCAACCATTTCACTCCTTCCCAATTTTGTCTTCCGGGATTTGACATGAATCTGCTCACAACTCCCGTTGCATGAGCAATATCTGGTCTCGTGCATTCATTGCATATATTAAACTACCAACTGCAGATGCGTAGGGAACTTTGGTCATGTATTCTCTGTCTTCTTCCATTTTTGGGGATTGCTTCTTGGTAAGTCTCAAATGACTCCACAATGGTGTACTTCTGGCTTTCGCATCTGCCATGCTGACCTTTTCTAAAACTTTATTGATGTACTTGGCTTGTGAAAGTTTTAGTATACCAGTAACTTTGTCCATGGCTATGCTCATGCCTAATATTTGTTTAGCATCCTCTAAGTCCTTCATCTCGAACTCACTGGCCAATTGCTTCTTTAGCTTGTTGATCTCCTACATGTCAGATCCAACAATTAACATGTCATCAACATATAACAATAGGATGATATAATAGGACTTGAATTTCTTAAAATAACAGTAGTGATCCATCTCACATCTACTATACCCACTCCTATGCATGAAGCTATCAAACTTCAAGTACCACTGCCTTGGAGCCTACTTCAAACCATACAGACTTTTCTTTAGTTTACACACCAGATTTTCCTTGCCAACAGTAGGAAAACCTTCTGGTTGTGTCGTGTAGATGTCTTCTTGAAGGTTTCCATGGAGAAAAGTTGTTTTCACATCTAGTTGCTTTAGATGAAGATCTTCAAAGGCCATAACTCCCAAAACCATTCTGATTGTAGTCATCTTCACAACTAGAGAAAAGATCTCATTATAATCAACCATTTTATTTTGTTGGAACCCCTTGACTACCAAACATGCCTTGTATCTCTTGGTTCCATCAATCTCATCCTTAACCAGAAACACCCACTTGTTTTGCAGTGCTTTCTTCCCAGCTGCAAGCTTGACCAAGGAACAAGTGTGATTCTTGTCAAGTGAGCTCAATTCTTCTTCCATAGCCTTCTTCCACTGTATGGATTATTTCATCCTCAAGGCTTATGGATAAGACTCAGGTTCGCCATTCTCTGTCAGCAACAAGAAGTTTGTTAGAGGATAATACCTGACTGGAACATCATGATCACTAATGGCCCAACTGTAACATCGTGATTTTTCATCCAAAATTTTTCTATTTTTAAACACTTATTTAACAGAATACGTTGCGGAAGACTTATTATGATTGTTTCAGAAACATCACCAATGTTACTTTCATGTCAAAATAAACTCATCAAAATATAAAGTTCACAAAAACATGATGATGAAAACCCAACATGTCCAAATGGTATCATAACTAAAGATACTAAATTATACTACCCAAAGATTCCCATCCTCACCAAGGCATCATGTCAAGCTACCTGTTCCATTCCACAAAAACCAACAAGCAAATAACAAGTGTTAACATAAGCTAAGTGAGTCAATATAGTACAGTGTTAAGAGAACACACATATCATAGATAGATCCACACAAAACATCCACACACAGTCAAAGACTCACTAGCAAGACATACAACATCACACCACATAACAACCACAGCTCAATTTATTTTAGTTCTTCAGTTAGAGCTTGTTTTATTAGTTACTCTCCTCACCACCGTTGTAACTAATTTAATCTTATCGATTCACCGCTTGAATATTATTATATAATATTTTGTTTCTCCGCTTTACTTTAATAATTACTCACCGCTCACCGCTATAATTATTAAAGTATTACCTCCCAGTTAGGGTCTTTCTATTCACCGCAAAAACCTCCCCAAAACTAGACCCCGTTCGCTACTAACGTGACCAGCACGACCCAATGCACTAAGTGAGGCGCGACTCTCACCCGTAATCATTGCCCCCAGTGCGCTGCGTTCGCTACTCCGACTGTGCTCATACGTATACATGCGTTGTCGTTCAGGATTGGTACAAGCGGTGCCAATACCAACAGATACACCTCCCAAATCCCACGTGATGTTTGCGCTGGTCCCACCGCTTGACCAACATCACTCCAGTCCCGGTATACCAAGGTGTACCAAGACCATGTCCCGAGTGGTTGTCTAGAAAAACCAGTCGGCGTCACAGTTGGCTTAAGCTCTTTTTCCTATAGGTATCTTTCAACCCACTAGGTCATCATAATATCCGGATTGGGTATTTACCTATGTCTAGGTTTCTACCCTTCGCCCCACTAGTGTGTTCCCCGTTTTAATTTAATAATGATTAATTAAATAAGGAGTTACACTTTTACCCTTTCAAGTAATCATGTAATTATTATGAATATTCTTTTATTAACATATTACCTCTTTAAGGGTTATTTTCATGCAAACATGTAATTTCATGAA